AAACCTTGTCTCTATCATTCATATTATATAATATCAACGGTTGTTGTTATTGTTATGGTTTTTATATATCAACAATGTAAAACCTTGTCTCTATCATTCATATTATATAATATCAACGGTTGTTGTTATTGATATGGTTTTACAATAAAATATAAAACCTTGTCTCTATAATTCATATTTTTTATATCAACGATTGTTGTCATTGTTATGGTTTTTATATATCAACGGTAGTTGTTATTGTTATGGTTTTACAATACCATATAAAACCTTGTCTCTATCATTCATATTTTATATATCAACCGTTGTTGTTATTGTTATGGTTTTTATATATCAACAATATAAAACCTTGTGTCTATTATTCATATTTTTTTTACTTTAAAGAAATAAAATCACAATTAATATATATTTCTATGACTTTAATTAAGGATTACATCAATTACTTTGATTTTATTATGTGATTAATCGATTCATGTGTTTAATCAGACATTATTCAATTTGCAGTTATATTAAATATATCATAAAATAAAAACGATTTCAAAAGAAATGTTTAAATTGTATTGTTTTTAAGGTGAAAATGAGACCTGAAGATTAATGAAAACTACGAAATAGGTTCTTTAAAAAGCAAGTAATTTAATAAATTACTTTTTGTTTTAAATATATTTACATATAGAAATCAACCCTTGTTGTTATCGGTTCTGTTCGTTATATATTATATATATTTCTGTGTGTGTGTGTGTGAAAACATAATTTTTTACCCCTTTTCTTATTTATGTAATGTTATTTAAATCTGGACAACAATGCTCTAAAGTGCATTAACCAGTATTGAAAGACATGAAAAATAATTTTATGGCTGCACTACAAACGTAAATGTTTTCTTACTTTTAGCAGTGAAAACTACACTACATAGAAGTCTTTTCATTTAATCAAAAACCGCCTTTATTTTACTTCAAACAGATAACAAAACTGAAACCTATTTAGTAAAATAGACGTAAAAAAATGATCTGTGTAAATTTATAAATTAAATTCAAAGTCTCACAGAAGTTTCTTGTCACATGAAGTTGGAGATAAATGTGTTAGGAACAATATAAACGCTCACTGTAGGGTTACCTTCGTATAACCATCTCCACCTCATCTTCAGAAGAGGCAATGATTCTTTTAACTTCTTCATACGTTCTTCTGTTCAAAGTAATTCCATTCCATTCTAAAACCTGGTCGCCTAGAAAAAAATAACTTTCTTCAAACTGTAATAATCGAATAATTAGAATGTTCTTTGGAATAGAAACGTTTTTAGAGTAACTGTCAAATTTTAGAAACATTGTGTATATCTGTATATATATTGAAAACCTTAATTCACAACTTGGTAATATTTGGAAAAAAAATAATGAAATATTCATGGAACGAAACAACAATTAAAGAAGTAAAACAAACAAACGAAACCTTTAAAATATGAACACAGCTCACAGGTAGTGTTGAGACATGTGATTGAAAATGTAATAAAATGTCAGGTCTCTAATGAATATTTACAAACAACTTCCCGGTAGTTGTTTTCTTCCTTCACGTTTTTATTTTATTATCAATCATTCATTAGCTTACAGCTTTAATAATGTTTGATTTTCATATTCAAGTAACTCCTTTCTCGCTGATATCAACTTTCAAATGCTCACCGTTTTCTATATTAAGTAGGAAATAACCTCGATTAAGGAAAACTGTTGAAATAGCACCAGTATAACATATTAACCTCATGTGAGGTAAGAAAACTGTTGAAATAGCGCCAGTATAACATATTAACCTCATGTGAGGCAAGAAAACTGTTGAAATAGCGCCAGTATAACATATTAACCTCATGTGAGGTAAGAAAACTGTTGAAATAGCGCCAGTATAACATATTAACCTCATGTTAGGTAAGAAAACTGTTGAAATAGCGCCAGTGTAACATATTAACCTCATGTGAGGTAAGAAAACTGTTGAAATAGCACCAGTATAACATATTAACCTCATGTGAGGTAAGAAAACTGTTGAAATAGCGCCAGCATAACATATTAACCTCATGTGAGGTAAAAAAACTGTTGAAATAGCGCCAGTGTAACATATTAACCTCATGTGAGGTAAGAAAACTGTCTGAGTATTGAAGTTTCCTGAAATGTTACCTGACTAAGCTTTACACAACTGTGTGAACAGTCATTCCATGACTATCTGAGTACCACAGTTTCCTGTTAAGCACCATAAGTTTTACACAACTGTGTGAACAGTCATTCCATGACTATCTGAATACCACAGTTTCCTGTTAAGCACCTTAAGTTTTTTGTTAGATCTTGACTAACTTGGATGTAAAAATAATAATAATAACGTACACAAAAGATGTGACTTTAATAGATAATTTTGATACAGTTTTAAACAATCCAATTTTTTGAAATTGTCCGTTAATTTATCACTTAATTGGTTAGGAATAATATTGTTGTTTGTAGTAATTATATGTCCTTTGATTACTGCGAACAGTAATTGTTTTAACGGTTTATATTGTTGGGCTGTTTGTTTTGGATTATTCAGTAAAAAAGATTGATGTAAAATCTCTTCATTGTAATGGTAACGTCAGCCTGTACATTCGTTTTAACTAACGTTTACTCAGAGGTCTAAGTTCACAGTAGACGATAAGACAAAAACTACGTGTGCTTGATGATTTCTCGCGCTCTATACAAGATACAACCTATCTCAATTACTTTATCGAAAACACAAACTTAGTAATGTTTCACAGCTGAACTAATCTATTAACGGTTCAAATTAACTTAGAATGAATAATCAGTCACCATTTACTTTAGCCTAACTCACGTTGTACATACTATTCAAACTGTTCTAAAACATTTGAAAAATTTCCAGACGTTTAACCACGTACATCACAAATTTTGTGAAACCTCCCTCCAGCCAATCAACAATACAGGCTTGTATTTAAATTTATAGCCAACAACCGTTCATTTATTATACGGATAAAACTGCTTTTTTTTCTCCAAATAATTGAAGTTTTGAGCTTACCTTCTGTAACTTCCCCTAAAGTACCAACCATGACGTTCGAGTAAATCTTGGCAACGTATGCCCCCGTTTCCCCTTTGCTGTCAGGAACGTCTTTCCCTCCAACTATTTCCAAACCAAATCCATTGCCCGCTAAGAATCAATATATATATATATATATATAAAACAATAATTTACAAAAGACATTCAGTTATACGTATATGTGTGTGTGTAGTGAAGGGGGAGGGGTAAAATGGAAAACTAAATAAAGTTTTCTGTTTCTATTTTTCTTTATTAACTTTCCAACAACAGATGGAATATTTGATCAATTAATAAGTTTACAGTATAAATTGTGAGCCAGATTCGTTGAAGTAATAACATTTTCTAACAAAGATGTTAAACGATACTCTGTATTTTAGTTCAGCACACACACACAGTGAGAAACAGTTAGGGTCGAATATTTCCTACCCTTTGTGAACCGATCCCTCGTCAGTAGGATTCTTTTAACGGGAAAGTTGTATTTGGAAGGTCTTCTTACCTGGAGTAAAACATGACATGAGAAATCAGTGGAGCGGGACCAAGTTGAGTTCCGGAACGTTATGGAGAGATATTGGGGGAATGACGTAACTTTAACCATATTATATAGAGATGTTGGTGGAATGACGTAACTTTAACCATATTACAAAGAGATATTGATGGAATGATGTAACTTTAACCATATTAATATAGATGTTGGTGGAATGACGTAACTTTAACCATATTATATAGAGATGTTGGTGGAATGACGTAACTTTAACCATATTACAAAGAGATATTGATGGAATGATGTAACTTTAACCATATTATAAAGAGATGTTGGGGAATGACGTAACTTTAACCACATTATATATAGATGTTGGTGGAATGACGTAACTTTAACCATATTATAAAGAGATATTGGTGGAATGACGTAACTTTAACCATACTACAAAGACATATTGGTGGAATGATGTAACTTTAACCATATTATAAAGAGATGTTGGGGAATGACGTAACTTTAACCACATTATATAGAGATGTTGGTGGAATGACGTAACTTTAACCATATTATAAAGAGATATATATCTTAATAGTTCAGTTCAGTATATTTATCAATGAATCGATTTCTTTAATATATGTTATTTATCGACTATTGTTTAATTTAAAATAAGGTTTGTTTTGTAATAATTTCTAGGGAATATATATATAGGAACTGAAACTTATCTTTACTAAAAACAAGGAGACAAAGTATTTGTTCTTTAATTTAAAAATTACAAACGAGAACTATAATTATATAAATTACGTTTAATAAAATTACAATACTTATAACAATGGACAAATCAACAATAATAGTGTTATAACAACGTCACACTACGTTTCGCAGAGAACACTAAAGTTGACGTGTACAACAATACTTATAACAATGGACAAATCAACAATAATAGTGTTACAGCAATGTCAAACTACGTTTCGCAGAGAACACTAAAGTTGACATGTACAACAATACTTATAACAATGGACAAATCAACAATAATAGTGTTATAACAATGTCACACTACGTTTCGCAGAGAACTGGAAAGTTGACGTGTACAACAATACTTATAACAATGGACAAATCAACAATAATAGTGTTATAACAATGTCACACTACGTTTCGCAGAGAACACTAAAGTTGACATGTACAACAATACTTATAACAATGGACAAATCAACAATAATAGTGTTATAACAATGTCACACTACGTTTCGCAGAGAACACTAAAATTGACGTGTACAACAATACTTATAACAATGGGAGAATTGCATGGTATTAAAATAATTATAAGACAAATGTCAGAGGGAAAAGTTAAGCCTACAAGTACAATAACACCGAAAAGAAAACAAGATTATTGCAGGAGATTAAATTAGAAACACCGAACTTGTGTACGTTCTTACTTGAACATTCTCCTCTCCATGTTCCCATTTGATCATCCCTTTTCCGAGGTAACCCCTGGACCGGTCATGTTGTCCGAAGTTTCTTTGTGATGAGCGAGCTGAAAAGAGACTCGATGAACATCAGTATTGATAGATAATCACTTTCTGGTAGTAGTGAATGTAATTCAAACACGTGGCTAACTCGTAGTAAGACCATATTGTACGGCATGTTATTTCTTTGACAAGTCACATGTCACATTATATTCTGTAGGAATGCCATTTCTATCCCTGACCTACTTGCTTGAATGAAACCGAAACATTCGATGTTTTATTCTACAAACAACACGTGCTACTCAATAATACTATCTACAGGTTGTGGTTATTGTCCAGTAAAACGTATACTAGTTGAAAACAGCAATCACCCTATCATCGTTAACTCTTGATATCAAAAACGTGTGTTTGAAATGTTTCAGAACGTCGGTGAAATGAATTTTTAAAGTAGACAAAGTCGAACTGTATGTATGTTTCTTGTGATAATCGATCGTAACTTTTTTAGGTTCAGAGCTATTTTCATTAACAAAAATATTTACAAAACCGTTTCTCTGCTATGGAGTGGGCCGGGCGTGGTTTAGTTGTTAAGACTGAGAACGTCCAAGGTTTGAGCCACGATGCTGCTGTACACGTACCTCACTCTCAGCTTTCGGCTCATTATCAAAGTGACAATCAATCCAATTATTCCAGTCCACGTGACTGATCGAAAGCTCAAAATTAGGGACGGCTGTATCTAGACCCTTAGAGGTCTCTGACCAAGTCATTTAGCCTTAGTCCACGTGCGCAGGATGTGCCGTGCAGGTTGAAAATATCAATAGTAAAACCGTTTTAAAGTAACTTTAGAGAGTCTACTTGTTAAATAGATTAAATACAATTCATATAGAATTTCCTTAGTTTCCTGTATGAAATCCTGAAAATTGTTTTTATAACAGAATACAATAAATTAGTTCCAGACACGTAAGAGGCGCCGCCGACGCCAAAAAGTGATTTTGTTTGTTTGTTTTGAATTTCGCGCAAAGCTACAC